ATTTATTATTTATTTTAAGCGAGCTAGATTAATCCACGAACTAACCAAATGTCATTGCACTACAATTTAATCAATAGATTTCTACAAATTTCTACTCTCTATCTCTCCCAATTGACAGCTATTATGGTGGCAATCAGTTCATTGATCAGATTGAGAACCTGGCGCGGGCTCGCGGCCTCGAATTGTTCAATCTCAACAGCAACGATTGGGGCGTCAATGTGCAGCCCTATTCCGGATCGCCGGCCAATCTGGCTGTCTATACGGGCGTACTGCGTCCACATGATCGTATTATGGGCCTGGATCTGCCCGATGGCGGCCATTTGACGCACGGCTTCTTCACGCCCAGCAAGAAGATCTCGGCCACATCCATCTTCTTCGAGAGCATGCCGTACAAGGTGAATCCGGAGACGGGCCTGATTGACTACGACAAGCTGGCTGAGGCAGCGCGCACATTCCGCCCTCAGATCATCATCGCTGGCATCTCGTGCTATTCACGCCTGCTCGATTACGGCCGTTTCCGTAAGATCTGTGACGAGGTCGGCGCCTATCTGATGGCCGACATGGCGCACGTCGCCGGCTTGGTGGCCGCCGAGCAGATCCCCTCGCCATTCGAGTACGCCGACATCGTGACCACAACGACGCACAAGACGCTGCGCGGTCCACGTGCCGGCGTCATCTTCTTCCGCAAGGGCGTGCGCAGCACCAAGGCCAACGGCGAGAAGGTCCTCTACGATTTGGAGGAGCGCATCAATCAGGCCGTATTCCCGGCCCTGCAGGGTGGACCGCACAACAATGCCATTGCTGGCATTGCCACGGCCTTCAAGCAGGCCAAGTCGGCCGAGTTCAAGGAATACCAGACGCAGGTCATAAAGAACGCGAAGACACTGTGCAAGGGTCTCGTCGATCTGGGCTATACGGTGGCCACCGGCGGCACCGATGTCCATCTCGTGCTGGTGGACGTGCGCAAAACCGGACTGACCGGCGCCAAGGCCGAGCTGGTGCTCGAGGAGGTGGGCATTGCGTGCAACAAGAATACGGTGCCCGGCGACAAGTCCGCCATGAATCCGTCCGGCATACGCCTGGGCACGCCGGCCCTAACCACTCGCGGCCTCCTCGAGAAGGACATCGAGCAGGTGGTCGTCTTCATCGATGCCGCGCTGAAGATCGGCTCCGAGGCCGTCAAGGCAGCGGGCAGCCCCAAAATGGTTGACTTCACCAAGACGCTGGCCGAGAACGCTAGCATCAAGCAGCAGCTGGAGGAGCTCCACAAATGCGTCATCAAATTCAGCACCACCTTCCCCCTGCCCGGCCACGATCTGCTCTAATGGGCACACCAAAAATAACTATTTTTTTTTTTTTTTTTTCATTCTCGTCAACATTTTTACAAATCCTGCGCTTATCTCTAGCTTGATATATTGGTATATATTTTGATATTTAGATATCTAATCTTGTACAGAGGCGCAACGATTTAATTAAGATATTAAAAATCGACAAAAAAAAATATAATTTTTAACCAAATGCGTTTGTTTTTCACACATTTTCTACTAATCGTAAACTTTTTTATTCTCTCCTTTTGTTGTGGTTCATAGAAAGTTCCTTAACTCGCATTTAAATGTACTAAATATATAAATGAATTAAACATATATCAAAGTCCATGTAATGACATTTCATTATTAAATTCTACATATATCATACAGATTATTCGTATAAATCTTTATGGAAAATGTGAAATAAATACGAGAACGATTATTTGTTGAAACTGAAATTCTGTTTCATATTCGAATATCGTTTATATTGCTTTTCTTTGCTAACTTTGTTATCACATGGAAATGAAATTGATTTGATTTTCATACTCATCCGCGAAAGTGAAATGAGTATATTAGTTGTGTGCAATTTGCACGTTTCCATCTGTCTATGAATACGAATTTGGCTCACAAATAAGCTTTTATAATTTTAATTAGCAATTCCTGTGAAACGAGTGGAAATGAAACGTACGCAGAAACATGGTACTATTCTTGTTTTTCATTTAAAACGAATAATAATTATCAACTCTAAAATTTAAAAAATGCTTCTTCGGGTTAGTTATTTTCGAATATAAATTAGGATAAAATTTGGTTTAAATAATTATCTCTATGTCGTCTAGATAAAACTCATGAAGTATGAGAAATTTTGAATGCTTAAGTTAAATTCGTACTTATATATAAAATAGATGATCATTAAAAATATATATAGGCATATATATATTACAGGTCTCGCGCTCTCTCCCTCTCCCTCTCTCTCTCTCTCTCTCTCTCTCTCTCTCTCTCCCTCTCTCTCTCTCTCTCTCTGCCACTCTCTTCTTCTTCGGATCGACCTTAGCTAAGTGGATGTTCCGTAAAATCAATTTTGGTCAGCTCCTTGCTCAGGCGCGCATCGCGATGGAAGCGCGAGTTGTGTGTGGACAGGGACCACTTGGTCTTGAAGTTCTTCATGCAGATGAAGCACTCGTACTCCTTGCTCTGGATCTCCGAGTGCCGCGAGGCAATGTGGCGTCTCAAGGCGTTCATCGACTGCAGCCGGCGCTTGCAGAAGCTGCAGATGAGCGCAACGCCAGCTGGGGCGCTCTCCTCCACCGTGGCCACAGCTGAAAGAATTCCAAGTGAATTGAAAGAAAAATAGTAAACCAAGAATTTGCGCATGATGTGTGGATGAAAAATAAGAGCTGGGCTTTTAAGCTGGAAATACGTATAGTTGGCTTGGCTTTTATTGTGTAAATTTTATTTGGAATTCTGGCTAGAATTTCCTTTTGCTTTTTATTGCTTATCAAAAGGAGACGAAAATTTTTATTATTTTTCCATTTTTTTCCGGTTTTTTATATATATATTTTTTTTATATACATGCATATTTGGTACGCTTCACACTTT